TCAAACTGAAAGAACAATTAAAGGAAGTGTGTTTCAGTCCCTCAGACCAGACACAGAATGACCTGGGGTCAAAGGTCAGAGAACACCACCGATCAGACCAGAACACGGAGAGCAGGGAGTTGAATGTTTGTCCCTCCTGTGTGCTGCGCCCCACAGCTTTACTCCCTGGATCATCCATCTACGTTTGTTGTCACGACTGGAATGGAAAAAAAATCCTGGTTAAAAAAAAAAAAACCAGGTGTGACAAAGTGCAGCGTTGAGTGATGTCATCACTGTGAGCTCTCTGAGCAAAATATAGACGAGAGAGAGAGAGAGAGAGAGAATCTGAATTTCAAATGTCTCGTCATCTGCTGCCGGTGTGTGTGTGTGTGTCGGTGTGTGTGTGTGTGAGACAAGGAGCTAATGGAAATCAAACAGGCGGCCGAGCGTGAAATATGGAAAATGCAAATATTGTGACGGATCCGTGTGTTTTTATGATCCTGGTCTTTGATGTGGATCAATCTGTGGTTTCACTGGGACAACAGTGATCTCTGTGTGTGTGTGTGTGTGTGTGTTGGGAGGGGGGGGTGGAGTGGGGGGGGGGGTCACAGCTGTAGCTCCTCATGGTGTCAGCGTTGGTCACTGCAGCGCCACAGTCTCTGAGGTCACGACCTCTGCTCACACAGCTGTGCTGTTAGTCCACTTCGAGTGGTTAGGTCAGAGCGGGACCACAGGGGGGCGACGTTGCCAACAGAGGGCGACCTGTTTGCTGCGTCGTCCATGGTTAAAAAAAAAAACAACAAACCACAGACAGTGTCAGTCGTTCAGTCCGAGGTCAGAGAGCCGACAGTTTATCCACGGAGCCACAGATGGTGACGTTCACAACCCTCTGTCGCTACATTCACTCTTTCACCACCAGGGGGCACATCCCCGACCTGGTCACTATACTGTTTATTTAACTATTATTGGCTAAAGTTTAGCTGTAACTTAAATTATTTTTAATTTAAATTTTTTTTTATTTTAGCGTTAAAATATTTTTTGTGTTTTTGAAACGGTTTTGCTCATTTTTTTTGACATTTTTTTTGACAAGTTTTTTAATTCAATTTTAATCTTAATGGTTGATAATGAAAACTACCCACGTGTTGTCATGGCAACATACGATAAAAAAAGCCCTGGAACCGAGTGTGGGGTTTCTGTGAAGAGCTGAAAACATTTGATGATAAAAGTTCTGTGGGGTTTCTGTGAAGAGTTGAAAATATTTGTCAAAGAAGATAAAAGTTTATTTTTTTATATTTTTTATCGTCTGAGTATTTGCAGTAGTATTTGTGCTGGTGAGGTAGTACTACAGTAAACGTTTACTGTGGTCACGGTTCTGATCCGTCCAGTAAATATTAACCTGCTTGTCCACGTTATTAAAGTGACTCATAAAACCTCACCCCCGTCCTCACCCCCGTCCTCGCTGTCTCCCCTCGGTAAAGTTTGTCCATTTAAGGACAGAGAATTTATGGATTTTCTCCCCCGACATCGTCGAGAAAAAGGGGGCGACGTCTGTAAAAAATGGCCAGGTTTCACCTTCCTCTGTCCTTCCATGCCCCCTCCTCCCTCGTCTCCTCGCTCCTCCTCACCCCGTTCTCCCACATAAGCTATCTGTCTTCTTCACAATACTCCTTTCTCCGTCCCGAGGACAATGCTTTTGTTCTTCTCCGCCGCCTCCTCCTCCATCCCGCTCCGTCCGTTTGTTTGGCGCTCTCTGTGACATCCCTGCCATGCCAGTCCGTGAGGGAGAGAGAGAGAGAGAGAGAGAGAGAGAGGGAGGCAGGAGGAGGGACAGGCCCTGTCATTGTTGTCCTCCAAACCCACGGAATATCAATAGTGTTTTTCTTGAGCAGGAGCGCCGAGCGTTGGCCAGTAACCTTTTGGATTTTGATGATGTCAAGCCCCCTTCTTTTCTTGGCCCTCCGTGTGATTTCCCCCGTCCCTCAGTTGCCCTTCTCAGAGGTTAATGCCTCCGGAACATCAGAGAGAGCCCGCCGCTACCAACCCACTCTCCACAGAACCTCCTCGAGGTCCGCTGGGTGTCCAGGTCGTTTTTTTGAGCCTCAGTGGTGAGAAAAAAAACCACCGGTCGTTCCAGAACCTCCTCGAGGTCCGCTGGGTGTTCAGGTCGTTTTTTCGAGCCCCAGTGGTGGCTCAAAATGACCTTGAAGTCCCTCATTCACCTTGACCTTTGACCTCAGGAAAGAATGAACACGTTTAGGAACTGATGGAGAAATGTTTGGACGGAGGAGAAGGAACAGGAGTGGGTAGAAAAGGAGCATCCGCCGAAGGTTGAAGGCCGTGAAGGATGAACCAGTGAGCGTTGACTCTCGTGAGGTCCGATATCGACTCTTTGACGATATACGATGTTGTC